TTCACTAGATGCGCTCTAATTATCTTCTCTAGTACCTTGCATAGTACGCTAGTTAAACTAACAGGTCGATAGTTTTTTGCATCTGTCTTCTTACCACCCTTGTGTATGGCTACTACTGAAGCCATTCTCCAGTCGGATGGTAAGTTCCCTTCAGCCAGTGATGTCTTAAAAAGGCCGCAAATCAGCTCCGAAATTATATCAGCAATCAGCTTGATCATCGCTGGGCTAATTCCGTCTGGTCTCGGAGCCTTGGATACTTTAAGATCGCCTAGTACCTCAGATACTTGATCAACTGTTACACGCAGTTCCTCCACTACTTCCGTCGCCGAGGGCTGGGAAGCACTTGACTCACCAGTGTCTAATCTTTGCACGCTGCTAAAGTAAGCGCAGAATGCATCAGTTTTACTCTGGTTTTCAGTTATAACCCTGTTTCCCTAAAATACCAGTGGGCCCATCTCTTCTCTGGTAGAGCCCTTTGACTGGACATATCCGTAGCAGATTTTTGGCTCCAGCTTCACTTTCTGGACCAGTTTCATTTTGAACAACCTCTTTTCTCTCCCTCACTAGGTTAACCACTGCATTTCTGTGGGCTGTGTAATTAATCCACGACGTGTGAGTGCCGGCTAGTTGATAGGCTCGTCAGCTTCGGTTTCGGTACCTAATGGCCCTGGCTACTGCAGCTCGCCACCATGGAGATTTTCCCTATATCTTAATGGCGCAGAGGTCCTGGAGGTTGAGGGGGTTGTGTTTGATTAACAACCAGTACACCTCGACGTATGTGGTGTCTCGCCCGGGAATCCACTGCATTCGTGCGATATATTCCCGAAGCCCTTATGTTCAGTCTACCAAAGTCCGTAATATACGGACCGGTGGTTTCATCCGGATATCGACCCCGATGAGGTGAACACTCTTTCTGNTTCGGAAACCATGTGCATAATGTCCTTCTTTATGAGGAAGGCTACTCCTCCTCCTGGTGCTAGAGGAAGTAATAGAGCAGGCGGATAAGTTTTGTTATTTGGGCAGCTAAATCTCACCCGGTGAAGACATCACGAATGAAGTGTCTGCTCGCATACAAAAGGCTCGGCTGGCATTTGCTAACTTGAAACATTTGTGGCGCCGTTGTGACATCCGGCTGTCTGTGAAGGGTCGAGTGTATGCCGCGACAGTTCGGCCAGTCCTGCTATACTATGCAGAAACTTGGCCATTAAGAAAACAAGATAAAGACAGACTGTCGGTGTTTGAACACCGCTGTCTACGCAGCATTGCACGAATCTGGTGGGGTAACCGGATGAGCAATGCTGAGGTTGGGCGCAGAGTTTTGGGTATTCGCGATCGCCCACTGGAGCAAGTGGTCGACCTCCATAGATTGCGTTGGCTGGGACATGTGTTACGCATGTCACCAGATAGGTTACCACGGCGAGCGATGTTCACCGAAGCAGATACTGAGTGGAAAAAAGCCAAGGGTGGTCAAGTTAAGACCTGGCACGAGGGTATGAAAACTCTAACCAGGAGACTGGGTCACATAGGTCCTGTTAGGCTCCCTGGTTGAGGACCTCGGGATGATCGTAACCAATGGTTAGAGGCACTGAGTGATATGGTTGGGTGTCGTAAACAGTGGCGTTCGTGCATCTCCTCAATTTCTTTGCAACCTTAGATCACTGAACTTCTCCATTTTCTTTTCGACTTCACTTTCAACTTTCCTTTCTTCTTTTATCCTTCACCCAAATGGGCAGCCAAAAGACAGTAACCAAAACCGGCGCACGAATATGCGTGGTTAATGGTTATACAAACTGAACTGAACTGCTAGAGGCCGATCCTGTCTGTGGATGGCGAAGCTGTCTAACACTAAACTTGGTGCTCTATTGTGGTCCTTAAGCCCTGTTTCCGATACAGCTATTACAGCTGCATTTAGGTCAAATACTGCTGCAAGGAGTTCTGTCCACTTATTTCTAATACTGCAGTTGTTGGTTACAAGCAACCGACAGCTCGCTGTGGATGGATTATGGTGCCCATTATTCACTCTATCTTGGGTCTCGAGCGCAGCATCCGAGTGAGTAGCAAGTTTTTTGATGAATTGCTTCCACCATCCTGCTTACTTGCCCATAGAAACGATGGTTTTAAGTCTACTGAGGTTGAGGTTATCTTCAGGGGATTGTCTGTTGCTACTCCGGCTCCAAGGATGACAGGGCAGTTTTCGGCTCTCTGTGACGAGACAGCTTTCCCACTCTTCGTCTCCATTGACATCTTCGATCACCACTTGTGATGAGCTCGAATGATTGAGCGACGAACGAGAGAGAGAGAAAACGGACAACCGGAAATGAGGCTTTAATCTTCTCACAATGCAAGTACTTCAGCTACAATAGAAAGACAGGAAATCTACATTAACAGTAAGTGATGCAGTGGTATAAAGATCAAAGGTATAACAAAATCACCATATTCTTCCGCGCTGAGTGAAATGTCTATGAATCAGCGCGTTTTTCAAACTTCCCCAATTCGAAGGTTGTATGGGTGGACACGCTGCTGGTCTCTTATGAGCTGTTGAATGTGATCCGTAGCATCAGACTGGATTTCTGATTTTCGAGCTTCATTTTCCAGTTGAACCACTGAAGATGTGGATTGTTCTTTCGTGGGGTGCACATGCTGATCTGTTACTTCATGAGTGTTTTCCGATGTAGACGCTTTCGGAGCTAGAAGCCTCAATGATACAGTTTCCTCTTTTCACATTCGGAAGACGTACATGAGCATATTATGGGTTACAGTTTAGAAGTTCCACTTCTTCCGTTAGGGGATCATATTTTGAAGTTTCATTCATTCTTTTAAGAAGAACTGATTCCGGGGTCGACAACCATGTTGGGAGATGAACCATTGGTAGATCTACGATTGAATGTTAAAAATCTCTCGTGAGGCGTTTCATTGATGGCAGTGCATAAAAGTGAACGGACTGAATGTAACGTGTC